ATCCGATCAAGAGCCTCAGCCGCCGCTCTGTTCCAAGCAGCGACCAAGGACTCTGTCGGATTGTGGGCAAGGGAGTCAGGTATCTCTCCAAGTGCCGTCTGAAATCCCAAAGGGTCCATCAGGGGCGGAACCACTTAATCGGTTCCCCCTCCCTGCAGTGGGGGAGTAGTTTCCGAAAATCAAGCCTCAGTAGGAAGTGATCTGACCATGACAAGGGCGAGATCTCTATGCCCTTCAGTTCCAGATCACGTCTCCACTGCCCCGAGAGAAACACAAGGTCGAGCGTGTGTCCCGCTGTATGAGTCGGACCCTGAATTACCTGGGTCAAGTCCATGGTTGTCATGGAAGCCATGAAATCCTGTGCTCCAGCCGAGCGTTCACCGAGAGATGGCAGGTTGAAGTCCCCCAGTACTATCAGTCTGGGGAACTCAACCGCCAGTCCGGCTACCGACTCCAGGAGTGCAGGCAGGGCTGTTGTAACGCAGCTGGGAGGTAGGTATGTTAGGAACTTTCAAATTGCTAGGTTGGCAGAAGCTGGTACAAGTGATGGGAGCTCACTCCATTACACGGCGCTAGGGATTATTCGAACCACTGAACTGCTGATCAACAAGCTCAGTGTTTTAGCTACTGAGCCACCTTTTGATCTTGATAGTATCCATCTGTTAATGCAGCAACAGACTGCAGTGGCCTTCTCTTCTCTCCTCTCCTCTCAACAGGCACCACTTTGTCAACGTCCTTCCGGTGCCAAGCGAGGTTCTCAGTGACAGCTCCTGATTGTTTAAGCTCTCCTTCCGGTAAACTGGCTGACCCAAGAAATGGGGCAGTCTCCCTCTTCACCCAGGCTGGATGTGTATCTGAGAGGCTCAGGGGAGCCCGCACTGACCTTCCCAAATGTACGATTCTATGGCCCTGGATTTTAACTTCCCAGGAAAGGGAGAAAAAACTTATCTGAGAGGAGCTCTTTTAATCTACGTATGACTTGCCTATCCCATCTACCTTAGTTTGCCTTCTCTCTGAAAAGGCCCCAAAGCTTCTGTTAGATCGGGTAAAGGAAGGCACACAAAGGCTCCAGTAATGACATTTCTTTATTGCAAGTCGAGTAAACATCTGGCTGGAGACAGGTCGGACAGCATCCCCTTTTAAAGGGATCTGTCAGACCTCTTCACCAATGGAATTCGAACTCTGTTCCTGCCGGAACAGAGGACCTTGGTGGAAACCTCTATCAGTGGGGGGGGGATATCTAACACCCCTCCCCTCTAGGATAGATGAACCCAGCTGGAGACATAGTCATGCAGGTAGGCGGGCTTTTGCGGAGCTCTGCCTGACCTGCACAGTTCAGTACGAGTGGTTCCTTCAGACAAGTCAGACGGACTTGTTTGCTCTGCGGTTCTGCCTGATGGAAACTCCTGGAACTTTCCACAGGCCGTGGCTGGAGCTTCTGGAGTTAACTCACTCGGAGCTTGCTGCGGGCCTGNAAAGGGGAAGACAAGCCTTCTCAAAGGTTTTGTATAGTTCATATGCCCTTCTGCTGAGTTATTGGGCCAACATTTCAGACAAAATGTTCATCTTTGATAGTACTACATGTAAAATACCACTGAACCAATAGCTAGTAGGAAAAAGGCACAGAAAAGGAAGTTGGAAAACTAAGCATTATACAATGCTTTTCACTAGCAGGCAGCCGATTGGGGAAGGAAGTTCTACAGCCCCTCAAATATTATAGAATTTTAGACAAGCAAACCAACCTCGGAGGATTCCTTTAGCAACAATGGGCAATGCAGTCAGTCCTCTGAGCCATTTCAAATCATCCCAGTTGATTGATGGATCTATTGCCTCTGTGACATAAACAGACAGGCCACTGTTTTCACCATAACCTTTCTCAGATGAAAATGCCAGATCATTGGTTTCAAAATTTTTCATTCTGAAATTGGAACAAGAAAGGGGGGGGGGGAGACTAAGAAGAGTTAACTGAAAAATATCAACATTCACCTCTGCCTTAAAAGCTTGCATGCGTGTGTATGTGTGCGTGTATAAATAATGGCTGGAGAACTTTTTGGATTAACATTTACTGAATGTCATCGTGTGCAACAATATACCTTATTTCACTAGTGCATTCCTCTTTTCTTCCAAAAAGAAAACAAAAGAAACAAAAAGGAATTTTTGGTTTTTTGATGCAATATACATATAGTATATTTTGTTCACTTATAGAATTAGTTACTCAAGATGTCTTAACTGTGACATTAAGTAGCTTTAAAGATAATTTGAAAACTCCATGGAAGCCAATAGAACTGTTAGTAAGAATTATCCATACATAGAAACAAAATAGACAAACCTCTGTAACTGAAAGGTACTGTATAGCCACATACCAGACATTTGGAATGGAAAATTGATTCACACTAGAAGGACTTATGACTCAGACCCTCCCAGTGGCTTCCTGAAACTGTTTGGTTAACTACTCTTGACTACAAGATGTTGGACAAAATAAACTTTTAGTATGTCTGATTCATTACAGTTTGTATTATGTTGTGGCTCAGGTGAAGTCTATCACTGAGTGTATCCTTAGAATTGTGGTGTGTATGACACATCCATCCAGCTTGTGTTAAGCAAAAATATCACCAACAAATGTTGAGAAGAATGGCCATTGTATTGTTTTAATGCACAGCATCTGCAAGAAAGAAAGAAAAAGAGGAAAGAATCCGATTCCCATCTTCCCACAGTGCCCCAAAATCCAACAGGAAGGGAAGGGAAGGAGAAGAATTAATTAAAGCTAACATCTTGCTTGGAGCTTCAAAGCAGCTGTTGGCCATCTTAGCATCCTATTTTGTACATGTGTGTTCAGAATATTAGAACAAGTACTCAAAGCAGCTTTGCTAGATCCTTCAAAACACAGCTGCCTCCCAATGGTTCATAAATCTCTAGTCTTGAAGGCAGTATGGGAACAGTGGTCTTTTAGACAATATGGAACAACTGTGCCCAGCATCCCCAACCAAGATGGACAATGTTGAGGAAACTTGAAGCTGCAATTCAGCAGTATCCAAAAGGGCACCATTTCCTGTTTCCTCCATTAACAGGGAGAAACAGTGAGCATGAAATAACATATCAAATCAATGTTCAACTTTCCCAACACTGGCAGCAAACTGAATGATATAAACCTATATGAAGAGGGATTAAACTCAATAATTAATTTCATTCTGTTAGTCCAGGGGAAAATAATCCTTTAACGTGCCATTATTAAAATGAATATATTTGAAAGAAAAAGACATTTTCCATTTCAACTGCAACACCAAAATTTGTTTTTCAGCACATTTTTGGCTTAATTAAGGATGGTCTTAGGGATACCATAAAACACCAGTAAAACTGTTTTTACAAATGTATGGACATGATTCAATGTATGTAAAATTATCAACCTGCATGACATATTTTTCTTTTCCATATTTACCATACTAGATATGGAAGGCATGTTTAGTAGCTTATTGTTAGAATAATAGCATGATATTTAGATGTAGGATTTGAACCTAGAGAAAAAGATGGAAAGTTGATACTTCTGTCCCTAAGTACCTGAGATGTGGAGACAGACGAAACTTGTTGCGTACATCATCTAAGCGCTTTCCAAGATATGGGGTGTCTACAGTCACAAAAATGCCTTTGTAGCCAGCTTTTTCGGCCCGATGCACTAAAGATCTGGTGACATCACGGTCCTTATAAATATAGAGCTGCAACCAGATAATTGTCTTTGGAGCTGCCTGAGCAACTTCTTCGATGGATGTTGTGGACCATGAACTCAGCATCATTCCTGTTCCTGCTGACCTACAGGCTGAAGAGCAAGAATATTAGTCACAGGAGGACCATAGCACAGAAATTAAAATTCCTTTTTTTTCCCCACATTTTGGAAAAAAAAATCTGCAACATTTTAATTGCCTTATCGCTTTCATTGCAAGCACAAAAATATATGTATTGGCAGCAGGGAATTCAGTTTGTTTTATGGCCCGATGAATGCCAGATGATTTCACAGTTGGCTGGATGCCTGTTTGTTATCTCTGACTTGATTACAGCATTTATCATTTCCTTGTAAATAGATCAGATTAGCTGCTACTACTAACAGACATCTTCTGTGGAAGCATAAAGGAAGCCTGTGTTTTTTTTTTAATTGTAATAATAGACATTCTGTGGAAAAACCTTTTTAAAAATATTTATGCTCTTTCATTTCAAACCAACTATTTTGTGCAGCATCAACTACCTAGGGACTTATAAACTTCATTCCTCACTTTCTTGATAGAATGAGTATATTGTATAACATCCAGGCTGGATGTTAAGCTATACTACAATTATGCTAGCCTGGCATTTCCCTGGTCTCCAAATACTTCTGTGAGGTGAACACTCACATATAGGATCTCTTGCCTGCAGCTGAGAAAATTTCTCTCCCACCAATCCTGAGCAAGAATGCTAAGAGGAAAGTGAAGCAGAGGATGTGCCTTCCTCCCTGGTGATTGCTTGCAGATCATTGCTTCACAGCCCATGCCAGCGAGTCATTTCCCACTGGTTTTCAAAGGAGCCTTGTCAGCTTCATTGTCAGTCACAATCCAATTAATCCAAGTGACTAAGTAGCCAGCGGAAAAGAGTACTGATTCCCAACTCTTCCTAACAGCAGAAAACCATGTTTTTAATGCTGAGACAATTAGCCATTTAGCAGGAGGCCACAGCAATTCCAAGGGCCCTACTTTGGCGACCATAATTTCTTCCGAATGCCCACTAATTTTAGAAATACTTTTTAGTTGTAGTTGTCTGTTGAACATTAAAGCACATGAATCATGAACTCCTGTCGTACTAATCATACAATCAAAAGATGAAACCAGAAGTTTAGAATTTATACATTCCTAATAGCAAGTTAATGGCCAACTCTGCTTTTGGGATAGTGGTTCTGATATATTTGAACCATTCGTGTTGTTGACTCTATATTGCAAGTAATTCCAAAACAATACTGATGTGCCAGTAAGCTTTAAAAAAGAGAGTAGAAGCTTCTCCGTATTACATATCTACATTCAAATTCAACCTTAATGTCTACTTGGTCACATGCATCTGACTGTGTATGTATATGCGTGTGTGTGTGTGTGTGTCTGTGTGTGTGTGTGTCTGTGTG